CTTCACATAACAGCCTCCCCGCTAAGACTTAGAAACCCAAACGGTTGACCCGGTTGGTGCTGAACCGTCTAATCACACCTCTCACGGCTTGAAGTAATATTTAACACAGTAGATAAACCCTTCTTATCGACCTACTACTGTAAAAATCAATATAATCTTTACTAATCCTGGCCTTCCCAAGTGTTTCAGGTCTTTGATAACGGTGATGCTTCCCGTGGTTTTATATAGGATCTCACTCGGCGGTTAAAGTAAGGGATTATAGAATCTAGTTAGATGGGAGAAGCCGCATGGAGCTAAGATTTCACCTGGGTCGCGAGACGTGTTATCGGCACTCAAGAGTCGTTTTCTTAAGAATGGGAAAGATTAGAAACATAGATCAAAGGATTCCTTGAAGCCAGCCGGATTAAGGACCTCATTACTTACACTATTTAAAACCGAGACTCGCATTGATTTTTAAAGATTGCTGAGAACTTAAAGACGGTGTAGATCTTAAAGATGGTGATTCTTAAAGATCTCCTCGACTGCGAAGAAGTGGGGTGGAATTTTCTTCCTTTTAACTTTGTTGACAGTGCTTCTGCTTAAAACTTTTTCACTTCGAAACCAGCTAGAGACAAAGTCAAAGGGAATGGAATAGAGAGATAGAAAGAGAACGTGTATATATTACATATTGGTACCACCAAAAATAAGAGACCTTGGCACCAGTAATTTGTACCGGTTTGCATTGTTTTTAAAACTCAAAAGTATAAAATCCTGTGATAAAAAGTTCCCGTAAATGTCACTTAGTAACACGAATATTTCGTCACCCAGAATATTTTCGCCGGCAAAAACATAGTTACATTGGTAACAAGAAGCTCCTTGATTGGTAACCATATACCATACACATTGGTACTGTCCTTGGTGCTGATTTACATTCATACCTGAAGGCTTCCAGTCTACTGCATCATTTATGGCACCATTTCTCTCATAAATAGACTGGAGACTGTGATGAAAAGGAATGACGATCAATTCAGAAGTGAACTTTGAAGCCAGGTGTACTTAGACTTGAACTTCCAGCCGATCTGATGCCTTTCAAGTAGCTAAGCTGGCGGGTGATGTCATGACTTTTCATTTTTCAAGTGCATGGCGCGCGGGCGCCAGGGATCGTTTCAGAAGTTAGAATGTAGAAATTTACCTTCCAAACTGAAAAGTTTGCGTCGATTGGAAGAAAACTTGACTTTCACAGAATGCTAAGCGTTTGGCCGATACATTCTTTGTGTTGAAAATTGCAGATAAAAGTCCTAAAAATCATAGATGACCTTGCATGCTAACGTTCGTTCAAGTACTCACCAAGCAGATTTTTGGCATTTGTCTTATTTTGGGCATGCTTTGGGGCTTTTTTTTCGGGATTTCTTTTTGGTACTGGTATCTTGTTTTGTTCCAGTCCAACACACAAAAAAGATACCGTACAAAAGAGAAAGCCCCATAAAAAAGCCTAAAAACACGGCAAACATAAACCGAAGTAAAAACCTTGGACAGTACGTTCAAGCTCCATGGCACTAGACTACATTTGATGTGGACTCAGATCCGCACGGTTTGAATGGTGAGATTGCCTCCACCCAGTGATCTACTGCACACTTTACGGGCGCATCATACCGGCCTTGAAAGGAAAGGTTACCATCAATCGCGCTTTTGATGAAAAATGATGCCTCAGTTCTGAGTGATGCGGCCGTATCATAGGCCATGCGGGGTGACCCGAGGGCCGCTTCTGAGACGTTATTACATCTTAAATGTTGCAGAGCCTTGGCAATCATAATAGTCTATACTCAGGCGTCTTGGGGTGGTCTAAATTGAGTTTATAAACATGATTTGCAAAGGTTAAAGCTTTCAGAATCTGGTCGGGAGCCAGTAGGTAATATGGGTCGACATGGGGGAATTCAGGAAGCCCAGGATACCATATTGAAGCTTTTATCTGTGTTGTAGCGCATAAAGGTGGAACAATATCCCAAAAGGAACATCCAGAATGATACACTACTTCCCGCTTGGCCTGGTGTCCGATACTTAAACGCTTCCCAAAAGGGCGGGAAATTTATGACAGCAATTTCCTGGTATTACCAGATGCTTCTTCTGGGAACGATACATCAATGTGCTCTCGTTCCCATAATCGTCTGATATTGCTTGTGTCGTCCTAGAGGAAAACACGTTGATTTAAACACACTTTTATCTCCGATTTGAAAGATTTTTTTTTTTACTTTCGGAACTGTTTTTCACGAATTTCACACCTGTATTCTAGTACGATGTACATATTGTACTTAATTTCTGTCAGATGTCTTTGAAAAACGTTTTAATAACATTGCGGTTACCCTTGTGAAACTGTAGGCAACTTGAACTTCCAATTACGTGTCATGTTACAACAGAACAAAACGTCCTTAGTAAGGATTGACGTCATACGTCAAGGGGGCCGCTAAAAGCCAAATGACGTCAATGGGGTACTTACATTTGTCAACCGGGTCGCTGTAGGCTCCTATAATGTAACTTGATGTTTCTCATCACCTGATATCTTTCTACAGTGACGAAAAGGCGCAAATTCATGAGATTTTTACAAACGTTTTAACATTTTACAAACGTTTATGAGATAAAGCGAGGATGTTAGAATGAAGATATCAAAGCATCCTTTTAGCAATTAAATATTTTATCATTATCCGGTCAAAATACGTCACTCTATAGCCGATCAACTCCTCTTGCAAATGACTAGTATCTATTCGTTTAATATGGAAGCGAAAATTCAATTTTTTTTCAGCAACCAAAGAAGTTTGTGGAGACTATTTTTAATAGTAGTCTCGAAGAAGTTTGTATCAGTTTTTACCTTAATCCACAGTCCAGAAAATGACAAGAAACAACAACATGTATATGAATAGCTACGGGATTCATTGCTATGAGTAGAGCTACGGCAAGATTGTGTTTTTCCAAAAACTTCTCTTGCCCTAAGCCTGCCACGGTAAGTCAATGTCACCACCCTGTCTTGATCAATCTATCGACCTGAGCACACTTGCGACCAAGTGAAAGTGCGCAAGTGTTGATCTTGCTCTTTGATATGTCAGCACGGTGTTAGTCTGTGAGCCATTGGAATGTGACCATGGATACACGGGTATATGTTTGCGCACGCGTCTGGTGAGTAGAGGGCGACAGTGCATGGCACTAGTGGGTAGATACTTTGTATAAAGGTGGCAGCAAGGAACGTGGAGTCTTGCCGCAGAATTGGTGACATCTTAGGGTTTCTTCTGGTGAAAGTTCTGTAGGTACTACGTGTTTCTTAAGTAGTTGTGTGGTTGTGCTTTCCTTTTAAGAAAAGGCGTGGCTTCTTGAAGCAGGTAGGGGTAGGCTAACTCCTTTGTACACTGTACCAACATGCTTTCTTTTCATATTGTTTTCTCTTAACCTGCCCGTTTCCTGTACCCTATATGAGGAAGTCCTCAATATTCTAACTAGTTCAGCTACTGTAAAAGAGTACTTGTGACTCTGTAATTGCTGTCTAGATTAAATCTAACACACGTTATCCAGCATTGGTACCCTCAATCAAGATTGCATTACTCTAACAACGGTACAGTAAAGTAGCTACGTGAACACGAATAAACACACATCATAAGTAAAGGAAAATGATTTTCTGGGCAGAGACAACTTTGATGATGTTTGCCGTTGTGAGCTGTTCCGAGAAACCAGTAATACTCAGCCAAGAGCTGGAAAGGAAAGAAAACATTATATTTCCCCTAAAAGCCGGACATTGCCTGTGAAATGGGGGAGGGGGAATGCTTATCGAGAAGATTGATTGGTCGGGGTTGAAGGCCAGGTGAATGGTCTGCAAATATCCGTTTTGTCCGTGGATCAACTCTGCCACAACAGAGCCCTTGCCTGACCCACCCACCCCTAGCAAAACAAACGGTGTTCCGTTTTAATTACCCCGCCATGTCTGACAGCGGGGACCGCGGTTCACCGACCCTGAAAGCGGGCCGATGACCGCCGGTGTTTGTGCGGGTCACGGCTGGAGTCCGGGTCCGTCTGGCTGTTTGTCTGTTGTCACGGGAGGTCGGCCGTGTGTGTACAAACTGTGCCGTGCGGTACGTGAGTGTCAGGCATGTGGCTGAGCCGCACGGGCGCGGCCAGGTACGGTACGGACGGGCTGTGGTCAGGTGCAGTCTGGGGGAGATCGGGAGGACATTAGATTATAATATTAACAATATTGATAACTCTATTGCCCCAAAATTGCACAAATGCATTTTCATTCATCATTCGCCAGATAATTACCTTTTTTTGGACTAGGTTCTTTTTTGGGGGGGAAAGATACATTCATATTCAGTCAAAGAGCTTACTAGAAATCCTGGTCAGCATCCAACCAGTGTTTCCTGTACTTGACTTGAGATTGGGAGATGGCCAAGTTTTAATGGATAAAAGCTGGATAAAGTCTGATGAAAAATTTACATTTTACCATATGCACCGAAAAGTACATTGGAGTGACACAGCATTTGGTGTAGTAAGGATAACACATTAGTGTTGGATGACTCAACAGATGTTCGTGTTTGTATGCTAGGGCTGATCCCTTGCCTCACCCAAGCCTCGCCCCTGGGCCGTTGCCAAAATCCAGGGGCTGTGGCTTGTAGCTGTACGTCAACGTTGACAAAACACGGACTTGACGAAATAAGCGGTGAAAAACAGCAGTTCGGTTTACACAATTCGTCTGCCTTTGTTTAGAGTCGCATCAACGAAAGTGTCAAAGGCAAAGCGCTTACATGGATAGAAGAAAAACAATGCGACAATACTTCTCAGAAGGCACGGTATTGTGCCAACATGACAGGTGAATCACAAATTTTGTGAAGTGCGGAAGGCCGGTTCCTGTTCTTTGTCGACGCCTCAAAGTTGCTTCTGGCTCAGCACCAAAACAGTGAAATGAACGCCCCGTGACGTCAAACCCGCGAAATTGTATGAGGGAGCGCTGTGATTGGTTGGTTGTGTCTGGCGGGGAAACCCACACACTTCCGGTTTGTGAACTCGACACATTCGGAGACTCCGCGCTGTGCGGTACAAGACGTGACTTGTACAAAGACCCGAGACAACTTCCCGAGAAAAACACATACACCGTTTACTTCTTAGGTAAGTGGGCTCCTTTGATAACCCAAGTGTAAAAGCTTGCTCTACAAGCTTCCAATTCATTATGACTTGCAGTATAAAATCTAATGGCGCAATTATTTTGGTAACGCTTATAAGTTATAGTTTCGAGCGTTCGCACTAACGAAGTAGTAACTGTTTCAAGGTGTCGTAAGAATGTGTCCGTTAGATCTCAGAGGAGATAGCTGATCCGTCAGGGATGGGTAGATTTGTTTTGCTCGGTGGGACGTTTTTGGACCAGTGTGACATCGCTGGTAGGCCGTGGTTTGTCCAGTCTTGTTTGCTGTCTCTGTGTGCAGTGAGCTCAGGTTCCGTAAAAGTAAAACACAGTCCGGGGACCGCTCTCGGGCTAGAGAGCACCGCTAGAACTCGGGGAAAACCCCGCTAGGTTTCCTGCCAAGTCTCCGCTAAACTCACCCCCTCTTCCGACGATGTTCTACAGCCGTTAGACACAGGCAAGTCTGTTAGTCATAACGGTTTTTTTGGATGTTGAATGCAAAATACCATGTGTACCGCTAGACCGCTAGCTACCGAGTTTGGGGAGGGGGGCGAATGCCTTTTTCACACCCAGTTCTTGCACATTTTTCTCGCTCCTTTTGTACCCTATTTTCGTGCACAACTAGAGCTCAGATTTTGCTGTGTCTTACAACTCTCCTGAAGTATATTATCCTGCAGATAGAGCGCAGTCGCACACTTTTACGCGTAGCTTTTCGCCGCAGAAGAGAGAACGTTTTTGCTGGCAAGTCTCCAAGTCGGGCTGCCCGACCCTCCTATAGTTACAAGCTAAACTCTAAAGGCTATGTGTAAATTGTCTAGACAAACATACCCTACATATCCCTCACCCGTTAATCCAGCTCATACCATTCCTGCACGACTGCCTATTTCTTAACTGCCATATTCTTACGTCAACATTGTCCTTCTTAAAGTCAAGTTCAAGGTAATGACCACTGATATATGATGGGTTCTTGAAGTGTAGATTGTTTGACAAAGTTTAAGGATATTGAAGTTTTGTTGTGTGTTGGGTTCACTCAACACCTATCATGCATTCTGGGTGTTTTTTCGGTGTGGCAAAGGTAAATGCTCGGAACGACTTCTCAAATGTTCAGGGACTGACCTACTATTCCGCAGTTGCTGCCCTGTCAGTGCTTGTTAAATTTGAGATATTTTGTGAAAATTTTAATACAAAACCAATTCTAAAGGTAGCTGATAATTTTTCAGGTTTTAAGTCCCATCTGTTTAAAAGTTAAGATTATTTAAAGATGATGGGAAAGCTTTCACAATTTCAAGGAGTGATTCTTCTGTTTATGGTATGAATGTTTTTGTCAAGATCTCAACATACATACCAAAGTTTTATCATCAAGGACTGAATGACTGAATTTTTCCTCAGTCCACGAAACAAAATTTTGTACGATCGATTTCTGGTCTATTTGCACAGTTAACAAATGTGACCTTGCCAAGTTGTTTTTACTAAGATACGCTCCAGTGTTTGGGTACAAATTGTAACTGAATTAAGCCGTCAACAATGACCCAAGGACGTCCATGTTAGCTCTTACATCAGCCAGGCAACCATTGTCGGGGGTCGTGTCAAACATTTCGGCCCTCGACCTTGAATTCTTCCAGAGTTAGGAAGTTCCCAGCGGCGATAATCCACAACAAACAAAATTACATGAGCTGAATAACACGCATACCAAATTTTACACGTAAGACACATTTAGAAATTGACTGATTTTAGCTTTTTTCTTACTTTGTGAAACACTAACATTGTTTTGTTGCTCGATATATTACATTCAAGAAGAATTACAGATAGTTTAAGCACCTCTTTAAGTAGAAGTGCCTCTTTTTTCTACAAACATGACCTGAATTTCTGCATCACTGTAATTCTTGTACTGACACGAAGTTTGAATGGAAAAGCTCTCAATCAAGTCAATGTTGAAATCTTGTAGCAGTACTTGCCCCTTACAATAATGTAGAAACCCTCCATAATTCTGGGTCTGCATGGGGGTCCAGAGAACACTTAATTCTAAATTCAGGAAGGCAGCAGCTATGGATTTTTAGTTTTACACTTAATTCGAGGGGCCTGGCTACACTAAATCCTGGTGCCAATTGTGCAAAATGCCAAATGCACTAATTACACTCTACAGTCTGGCTATAAATTATATATTCTAATTAAAACGGCTGATTTACGTTGTACAGAAAGAGGCACGCGGGCTGCCATGATTATCCAGTGGAGGTCCGTCCGCCCCTTTGTTGCAGGTCGTGTTGTTTTAGCAGCTCTCCTCTGTAATCCCCAGACATGCGGGTGGGATTCCCAGCTCCACATTCCATCCCCTCCTTTCTCAACACAGTTCACCTCATCGCTATGTTAACTAGTGAAAGCTCTTACAAAACTACAAACTCTTGTCACCAAGTATGAAGAAAACTGAAGACATCTCAGAGATCTGTATAACACGTCAATATTTATCTTGACACCTAGCTTTAATAATTGATAAGCTTGAAAGAGTTGTTATTTTCGTTGAGAAGAAATACTGGTAAATTAATTTTGGACACATTTTTTTGTCAAGAGTTGTTGATTGATGTGTATCCTTTCTGTCAGACAGGAATCATCCATTCCTTACAGGGTGAACAATTTTTAAGTACAATTGTAAGTAATACCAAAGATAAGATTTAACTTTTGTCTTACATCTTAGAACTGTTGATAGTACTTACAAGAAATCTATGTTCTAATATATTGTAGAAAAGAGTAATATTCTTTTGAAATAAACTCATATGATGATTTCTTACACCCCTCATGAATGACATGGTACATCCCAGTTGTAATCTGACTCAATGTGTACACGTGCTTTTAAAATAGTGAGCCGCTGGTGTGCTAGGGAGTAAATGGATAAGATATGTTAACTCTTAACATACCTGAGAACTAATCCACAAACTACATGTTGTCCTGGCTTCAGGAGGGGTTGGGTTTTGTGTTTTCATTAATTTGCCTCAGAAAGTCCTGACCCCGCTTTTTCTCTCCATAATGTCTTTCAGTCACCTCTCAAGTGGCGCCATGATCACATTTCCATGTACCTTTCTTAGGAGGGCACCAACAAAACATGAACTGATCTCTGAGCCAGCTAACAAAACCTCCCCCTACAATGCAACCCCCTGGACTCTCAATGCCCGCTAGGTAACTTAACAAGCCGGCAGAATTCGCGAATTACCCGCTCGGTTTTCTTCGGTTTGTTTTGTTTTTGTCTCCTGCGAAGAATAAACATGACCGAGTCGTAATGAATGATTGTATCATTATCAACGTCCTTAACTGAGCGGCACGCTTCGAATCCGGACAACGGAATTGTTTTGACTTGCCGTCGACGCCTTGCAAGGATTTTCATTCTTGGTTTGTATTGGTGGTCGGGGTGTATCCTTTCCCACGCGGTGTATAGGAAGTGTGTGTGGGCCTGTCTATCGCTTACCATCTTGGAAAGTCCTTTTGGGCGATGACTGTTTGGCGGTTGTCTGTTTGGTATATGTGTAAACAATGCGAACTGTGTCTGTTGTGATATGTTGCAGGTTGGATTGGACCGTCGGAGGGACTCCTGTTGTCCTTAAGGCTGCAGCGTCAGGCAGGTGTTGACAGTCGCCCTTAAGACATTGTATCAGGTAAGCCAGGTGTGTTGTTATGGTAAACTTAGAAACCAAGCCTTGATAATGTATCATAATCGCTTAGATTACTCGCAACCCGGAGAACACACTTGCAGACGTATTGTCCCTGAAACGGGTTCATTTCACCTAAGAGGTGGAAGAGAGACTATTTGATTTCATAGATAAGATTATCTAAGAAGAAAGAGGATGCA